ACGCCAAATTTATAGCATTTTATTAAGTTTTTTTCTTTATAAGAATGAAAGTATATTGTTTCCACCTTTTTAAAGTCAAAGTTCATGGGAAAGACGGGGGTAAATTTGTATGAAATCATAGAACTGTGTTGGTTTAAGGTTGAATCTATAGACAGGACAGGATATGAACGTTTCGGCTCAGAGACTTCTTCGGCGAATTTTTTAGTGAAATTAATTTTTTTTAAAGAGATTTTTAAAAAATTATAAAAATAACAAACACAAGGCTGTGAAAATAGGTTAAGAGATTTTCTATAGATATGAGAATACTTTGTTTTACGATTCTCCGATTATATAGTAGAGAAGGGGGAAAACAATTTGGTTAAATTTTTAGTAAAAATACAAATGTATTACGTTAATGTAATATAACTTTTCTTTCTTCTTCTTCTTTATTTTGAGGGCCCACTATCAATGAAGTGATCATTCTGGCTCCTATGTTTCAGAGGGGTTTGCGATGTTACTGTGCATGGGTTTCAAGGGGATGCTTCACTGGTTGCAAGGGCGACTTAGCAGTGGTGTTATGAATTGGGGGTTGGAATACAGGAGGCAATAGACACAAATGTCTCGAGTGTAGCCGCCTCAACTGTTGCTTTTGGAAGCTTGTTCCAGTCCCCTATTGTCTTTGGCAGGAATTAGGAGCTCCTGTACTTTGTTGTTGTTTTTACCAGCCGGAACTGTCTGTCGTGGCTTCGTCGAAGTCTAGGGTGAAGATGAACGAGTTTCTGTTTGATTCCGGAGCAGTGGACACGCCCATTTTTGATCTTGTCCAACATGGTGAGCCTGGATAGTCGTCGTCGTTCTTCCAATGTCGACCAGCCCAGTGTTTCCAGCATGCTACCAACACTCGAGGTGTTTCTGTAGCGGTTCATGACAAAGCGTGCTGCCCGTCGCTGGACCGCCTCCAACCTGTCGATGCTTTTCTGGGTAAATAGGTCCCAGACTGTAGAAGCGTACTCTAAAATAGGCCGGACAAAGGCTTTATAGGCTTTTTCTTTCACGCTAGAGTTTCCGATCTTCAGATTGCGCCTTAGGAACCCCAGGGTATTGTTTGCCCGGTTGCACACACTGTTAATGTGCTCGTCCCAGCGGACCTTTCTTCTTGCTGGTAAATTGAAGGTTATGCTTTTACAATTTTTAGAGACAATACAAATTCTAATACTGGGTCACGAAAAGGAGTAGGTTAGGCTTATAATGTAGAGTAGATACATATTTATCCACACTAAATGGTGTTAGATAAGTAAACATCATTGCTCAGATACTTCTTTTCAACATAAGGAAAGTCTGACTATTTTCTAAATATAGATTTCAGAGGCGAGGAATATTGTCAGTTGTTTTATGTATAAACATACAAGTCATACTTGTTTTAGATATGTTTGTAAACATTGCATTTTTAGGTGTTCAGAATTCGCATTAGCAGGCAGCAAGGTGCCGTAAAATGACTACCATTACTATCCCGGTAACATTGGGTCGTATATTCTAGTAGGATATAAAAAGGACACTGTTGATTTCTCAGTCATGAAATTAACAACATTTAATAATCGGAGAAGAATGTAATTGGACAATACAAAAAATTAGTGAGGTTCTTGTACCCTTGGACACAAGGCTACGAATATATTCGATTTATTATAATGCATACCAGAAGTTAAAAGAGTTATGTGGGATTATTACTGGCTGAGCGGACACACCAGATAATACATGTCTTTTCTAGAAGTTTGGATCAACTATTTTCTTGCGTAAGAAGTCAAGCTAAGCAAATACGAACGCGTTATTTATAGGTTTTCTGTTGTTGTGCAGATCTACAATAATAACCAGTTTCGACGTGAAACGCATAACGGCACGATTTAACACACAAGACACACTGCTGGTCATCTACTGCATCCTGGCCTATGTCCAGTAGTTATGACCAAGTCTTGCCATTGGATCAAATGGGCAAGGATGAGAGATTGAGGCTGACAATTTGAGCAACTTTCCTTCACCTTAAACAAAATACAGCTCCGTTCATGGCTACTACTCAAGCCTTGGCATCTTCTCTAATGAAGTACGAACACTATAATATAAGATAAAATATTTTTTAAATATTTAATATAGTGAAAACTCTATAGTCTTTAAATTCCTAAACAATAATTGTGTCATTCATGGCAAACAACATTTTGATTGCTAAGAAAATAATTAAGTGATTGCCTGATTAAACATCGTTAACGCTTCAGTGAATTAATATTTAACACCCGGCTGTCAACGACTGGCTACTCTTGAGAAGGTTCATAATGATTGGCTACTCTTCAGAAATTTCTCAGTGATGGCTTCCCTTGAGAACGCTCTCGTTAATTGTCTGCTCTTAAGAAAGCCCTCAGAAACTGGCTGCTCTTGAGAAAGTTCACGATGATTGGCTGCTCTTAAGAAAAATCAAGAGAATTGGCTACTTTTAACCTAATTTTATGGTGGCCATCGTAATAGAAAGAATCATCATAGTTATTAAAACAGCTTAACAGTAATGTTCACTTGCTGGTAGGTGATCGCACATACAGAGAGAATCATCATAGTTATTAAAGCAGCTCAAGAGTAATCTTTACTTGCTTTTAGGAGATCGCACATACAGAGAGAATCATCATAGTTATTAAAGCAGCTCAAGAGTAATCTTTACTTGCTTTTAGGAGATCGCACATACAGAGAGAATCATCCTAGGTACCCGAAGGACTCCCAAGAGCTACCAGCCAGAATATTTCACGGTAATTTTTTTAATTAATGTTAGAGCTAAAGTAGCTGGGACAAAATGCCTACATAGAGACCCCCTTACGCATTAGACTCTCTACATAGGAAACCCCTTACATAGGAGACCCCTTGCGGAGGAGATGTAAGTGGCTAACTTTGGAACCAGAAGCGTCTACTGAGAAGGGTAATGTTCTTGTGGGTATTAATTTTTAAGTTTAGTCTTAACGATTAGTTTATTCATGCTGAAACCTATTTGTGACAACGCCATAAAAAAAAACACATACAAAAAAGTATAGAAAGTAAGCCTTCGATAATCCCAACTCATTGCGTTGTTACCACGTCCTTATTGTCAAGTTATCCTGATTTTAAGAATTCTTATTTATAGATATGTTGAATACAGTGAGATTACTGTTAACCAGGTGACCTGTGAAAGACAACTGCCATGTCTACGCCGATAAACAAGTTTTTAAAAATATTTTTTACAAAAAAAAATAAATTTGACGTTCTCGACATATTCAGAGCACCAGACTAGTTCAATTAAGGGTTTCTTTCAGCTACATCTCCGCAGAGCCGTTCTTAGGAGTTTGGGGGCCCTAAGCATGGAGCGTAGTTTGGGGGCCCGGGAGGGGGGTCAGGGGATGGAGCTCCCTCGAGCTGAGGAGAAAACACCACACACCACTGCGGCACCTCCATTCTGCATTCATCAATGTTTCCTCTTTCCCATTCCCACGGCCAAGCCCCCCGATTTTCTGTCTGCCACCCCTAAAGCTCCCCCCCCTGCTGCTTCCCTTTCCCTGCCTCCGAATTCAACTCAGAATGATACATTTCAGGATGAGGAAGGTAACGTGAGTGACACAGACGGCTGCAGTGCCAGTTTAAAAAAAAACCGGGGGATCGTGGGTGCCTCACGGGGGCCCCCTCACGTTCGGGGCCCTACGCGGATGCATAGTCAGCGTATGCCTAAGAACGGGCCTGATCGCCGGGGGGAAACCCAAGTGCCCCCCGGAGCAAAAATATGTCCAAAAATAAACCAACTTGCAATCCCCCCCCCCCCTGAAAATATCAGCGCCACCCCCGGGGAAAAATTTCTGAAAGAAACACCGGTTCACTAAAAATCACGTTTCGCCTCTCGCTCTAAAGTTTTGATTATCGGGGGGAAACCCAAGTGCCCCCCCGAGCAAAAATATGTCCAAAAAAAAACCCACCTGCAAACCCCCCCCCCCCTGAAAATATCAGCGCCACCCCCGGGGAAAAATTTCTGAAAGAAACACCGGTTCACTAAAAATCACGTTTCGCCTCTCGCTCTAAAGTTTTGATTATGGAAAAAAATATATTTTAGAAGTCCGGAATTTTTACGTCTCACTGAAGCTATATTTCATTTTTAAATTGTTTCCTGGAGTTACCCGCTCAATTCCTTTACAAATAGACCTAGACTGAACCATTTATAGACCTACAGTGAAAACTTTATAAGCTATTTTGTGTGTTATAGGAAAAACAGTTTTCTTCAGAATACTTTCAGCCACATATATTAACGAGGCAATTCGTTAACATCGATCGAATGTATCCACCGCTTACAGCATTGACCCTGTCTGAAATGAAGGACCTATCCATTCCTCCAGGTCTGGTCCACCGTCCACCTTTAGTGTCAGAACTCTTTGCGGGCTTAGAGGATATCACCATGATCCGAGTCAAACTTGGCCATTAGGGAAGAACTCGCTAGAGGCTGCAATTACTAATGTGATGGTAGATTAGTCGAAACCGTTTTACTTTATGAATTCTTAATTATAGTATTAGCAATTATATATTTTTAAAAAATTACGTAATGCTTATTAATTTAAGATGTATGCTCTTACTTTATCAAAAGTGTATTTATTTACGATAAGCCATTTTAACTTGTCCAAATTGTGTTGCTTTATGAAATGTTGGTCAAATGAAAGTTGTGCACATTTCTCTATTCCATATTATCACTTTGTTGCCACAGAACACTTCATGCACACACAGCTCTATTACATGCACACACAGCTTTACTCTCTTGGAACCTAAACCTAAACCTTAACTCTATCATAAACCTAAACATAACCCTAACCATAAAATTAAAAAAAAAATGAAATAATAAATTGCAAGTTAATAAAATAACAAATGGACTTTGGAAGCGGTTGAAAAATTTCCAGCACGTTTGACATATTAATATCCAAAGAACTTCTTTAAAAAACAAATTGATATAAAACATATTGAAACAAAACAACGAATAATTCTTCATAAGTTCAATTTTATTCTTAAAAGGCACACGAGTCGTGAGGAGTTCTGGTGTTGTTGAGAAGGCTGCCGAATGTGTTCTTGTGGTTCCGCTCAGCAGAGCATCATTCAAAGACATGACGGCTTTCTTTGCTGACAAGTTGAACAGTTTTAAAAATTGCCCAGTAAAATTTTACCGAGTTAGTCTCAAACCCATATAAATCCATCACTGTAATGAACATAGCAACTTAAACTCTCTAACCATTTCGATTGATGGGTATTTTAAGAAAACTGTTGAGGGCTTTAGTACAATGAATCGTTTTCATAAGCGCAGTTGTTTTTTTCCGTTCAATTATTTACTTTTAGTTCAGTGTCGTGCCCAATATGGCATCAAAAGAGGGTGGTGAAAGTCTGCGGGTGTGTGGGGAGGTGGATTCGATAAATGATCAATAATGAAATATGAAATATCTCCCTCTTTCTTGGGTTTAAATTCTACCCATTTTTTCCCTTAACATCTTAATTTTGATTTGTATCGATTATTGAGTGGGAGGGTATGATTTTAAAAGTAGATAACACAACATTTAGTGGTTACGGTCTACACTATTACTCCAATGGGGAGGTAAAATTAAGTGTAAAAAAAATACACTTTTATTTCATAAATTATTATTATTGTACAGTGAGATTTAGAAAAAAGAGTACAATGAAATTTTGATTAGCTAAAATTAATTCAGTTTGATTAACTGAAACCTCGCGCCACCACCACCACAAGGACTTCACACAGTCCAAGATTTGTACAAACGAATAAATATAAAGGCTTGTTGCTATATAATTTCATTTAGAACTCATTATAAATAAATGTATACTTTGCATGTAAACTTTTATACACTGTAGTTCTAAATATCGAAATAAAATAATATCTAAATTATTTTCTCTTTGGAACATCAAATTCAGTAAATCATATGAAAATTTAAAAAAAATATAACATATCAACATAAAGTAAGAGATATTTTCATTTTTTCCCCCATGAACACAAGTAGTTGTAATCCTTTTTTTAAAATATATGTAAAAATTATTTAATGTAAATAAGAATAAATAAACAAAAATGTTTAAACTACATTTGAAATGCGCTTTAAAAAAAAAATCAGAAATAACCTTACCCCATAAAACATTTGAACAAAAAAAATGAAAATCGTGATGTTTTTTTTTAAGCTGTTCTTTAAATATAGGTATGGTGTTCACGCTGGTCATTTAAATTTGGCATTGAATCCGCGTTCAAATAAGCCACCTATTTATAGAAATAAACCGATTTCTTAACAAAAACATAGTTTTAAATAAAGTAAAAAAAGTACAGTTCAGTGATAAGAAAAGGAAATCATTTTAAGGAATTTAGTTTTTAATATACAAAAGAATATTTCCTTATCTTCCCCAAACAACGATGGCCATTAAAAAAAAAATTATAATAAATTCAGTTACACTAAAATTCAAATTTTCTTCTACTCTAACGCTGTGCATGCGGTACTCCTTTTTTGAGCCATTAAGGTATTAATAATGTGTCCTATTAAAACAAAACCCTAAATAAGTCATTTGAGTGAAGTCCTCGTCCACCAGGTTTTCTATTGAACAAGTGACCCTATCACGGCAGCGGCGACCAGCAACACCATCGAGACGGTGACAGAGGCGGCACCCCCTAGTCCGGACATGGGGCTCGGCGTCCTGTTGGCCACGGCTCCTGGCCCGCCCGGGGGCTGAGTGGGTCGGATGGTTGAGATCGGAGCTGGCGTTGACACCTGTGGGAGTAAGAAGGGCAACATTTGATTTACATTTTGGTGAACATTTTTCCTGATAGTGTTATGTAGTTCCCCAAACTGTGAACTCTAGCAAACAATAAGCAATCTCAAAACCGCATTGAAAGTGTGGCTAGCTAAAAATAGTATCTTGACCTAATTAAAAATAATAGTCTGCTCTATTCGAATTTTGTAGAAAAATCTGGAGTAAACTGGAAAGGAAAACAATATGTGAGGCGGTTCCAGATGCATCTGTAGAATAGACTATAAAATGCGGACACGATAGATTTTTCAGGAGAGCATTTTTATCTAGAGATTTCTTTTTTTTTTTACTTTACGGGACGACAGGCGAGAGTTATTTTTAGGATGTGTTATCCTTGGTAGAGTTTTATTTACTTATATGTGTGAATTCCTACTCATCATTGTACCTTTTTTTTTGGCATATTGTATTATCATCAACGGTGTACCGGTGCAAGCAAAACGGTACTCTGTAAGTTAATTATTTTAATTTTATTTCTTTTATTTTGTAATTTGTTGGTAACTTAATCAATCTGATTAATTGTAGTTAGCCCTGTTTTGAATGTTGTATTTCTTTTGTTATTGTATTTCAGATATGGTATCTTCTTTAGCTATGCAATGTTTAGAACGAGCCATTGAATAAAAAATAAGAGATTATGGTCTCCCTTAATTGAGGCCCTAAATTCGTTTTTTTTTAAAAATTATATGAGGTATATGAAAATAATTTCAAACAGAGCTATTGCATGCGTGGATCAATCGCTAGAAGTTTCTGGACTAAATTTTGAAAATCCATGCTTCTCACATGGACAGCTGTATGTGGCCTGCTTCCGCATCAAAAACCCTTCTACTTTGTTCATGTAGGCACCAAAAGGAAAAAAAAAAGTATTGTCTCTATAAAAAGTACTTGAAAAAACTTAATTAAAAAAACGAACACTATCTTTCTTTGAGTGGCATTGCAATGCATGCCGGGTAGTCGCGAGTATATAATAACTTTTTAAATGGTTTAAGAAGAAGACAGTATCTTACTGGGTACACGATTGTACACACCGTTATATTAATATCATATATAACGATTGTATACACCGTTATAGTAATATAATATATAATGATGGTTTTAGATACAGGAGGAGTAACCCAGCCCTGTTATATATAAAAATTATATGTATATATATATATATGAAAAACTAAAAACAATAATATGTCAAATCCAGGGACACACCTTCAAGCAGTTCCGGTTTAGTTTAAGACCAAATGAAGCACGTGACGAGGAGCCCCGAACTTTTATTGGCACCTCAAATTTTAGGGGATCGCCTTTAGGAACCATGGTGGTGGTAATGAGGTCATGCCGAACCACGCAGCTAAGATTACCCAATTTTCTGTTCGGCCCAATCTTGCGTTCGACCAAATTTCCTTTCGACCAAATTTCCGTTGATCACATTTAAGTTGACGAGATTTCTTGCAAACAAATTTTCGGTAAACCCGGTGCACCTCACCAACAACCGAATATATCCGAATCAGTCTTTGAACACTTTTAACAAAGTTGGTTTTATTTCCCCGATGCTCATCTCGATGTTCCTAATTAAAACATAAAACTTGAGGAGCTGTCTTTTTAACATTGACGCAAACGGAAAACTCTTCACAAAGAAATTCAATTTTTTGGACATACACGCAGTGGCATTTGCCAGGTTTTTGATACTAGCAAACAGATTATAAAAAGGACAGCTAACCTAACTATATAATTGGAAATGATTAGACACAACTGATATAGAAATTTATAATAGTACGCTTGCTAACAAAAGACTAGGCCGTGAAAATTAATTAGTGGACCTTCGATCACTTTGACTTCACTCTTAAAAAAAAAAATCTAAAATCTTTCGCTGCATTTTTTAATATATTATATTTCTATTCCGAACATTCTGTTGCTCTTATAGAGCAGACGTTTAGTGATATCACACCTTTGAGCGTTCCCTCTTAATACGTGCAAATTGAGAATTAAATCAACAAGGTTGTGACGAAATATTTTGATAAAGTTAACCTAAAACGGTCCAAGTGTTGTAATTATGCATACAATCATACATCTACAATCATACATATACAATCATACATATACAATCATACATCTACAATCATACATCTACAATCATACATATACAATCATACATATACAATTATACATATACAATCATACATATACAATCATACATATACAATCATACATATACAATCATACATATACAATCATACATATACAATCATGCATATACAATCATGCATATACAATCATACATATACAGTTGCGCACATGCACTTTTAAGCTTAACATTATACAAATATAATTTATAAACATGCACGTGTATACATGCATTAGTTTTAAGGTGCAGGACGCGTTTTGTGTTATTGGAATGATTGCCGACAATTTGTCTTTCAGTCTATTACATGTATGACTCAAAACTGCACTCAAAACATAACTTTTTAAATTATACTACCCTGACTGATTCCCCTCCTCTGACCGATAAATGATCTTGCTGGCTGCCGTCCATGGTTTGCCTTGTAAACGTTATGTGGTGGGGTGGGTGAATATCCATTGCTGTTCTTTATTTCATAAATGTATTTTATTTTAATGTCATGATTATGTCTCTTTTGATAAAATTTTTATGTACAGCGCGGTGAGCCCAGTCCTAGGCTGGGGCACCGCGCTATATAAGACGTCTTAATATTATTATTATTATGACTGAAAAAGAATTTGATCTTGAATAGGACAGACGTTTGCGAAAATTGTAAACGGGGAACGGCCGATTCCCTTGCCAATGGACTTCATGGGTCCGATATCGCAGTTACGCCATTCAGTAAAATTGTCTCCTGTTTCTATTCTTCGGGTTGGACGTTGTTTAAACTATTTAAACCCAAACATGAGAGCTTTTAACACAAAACTCAGAACAAATGAAACACAACCCTATTAGGAAATTTCAACATAACCCTCAGGGCAAATTAACACACAAACGTATCATGGCATTTCAACATAACTCTCAGAGCAAATTCAACACAAACCTATCAGGGCACTTCAAAATAACCCTCAGAGCAAATTCAACACAACCCTATCAGGCCATTTCAACATAACCCTCAGAGCAAATTCAACACAACCCTATCAGGGTATTTCATCATAACCCTCAGAGCAAATTCAAAACAATCCTCAGAGCAAATTCAGTCCAAACCTTACGATGACCTACCTTGCCACATATGCCGTTGTAGACACTTTGGTAAGGAGCGTTCTCTTTGCAGAACTTGGGCAACATGGTGCACTCAATGATCGTCCTGAGCTCCACCAGGGCGGCGTCGCACGATTTCTGAAAGGCTGACAGCTCACAGTCCATCTGCGTCAGCTTGACCCTAGCAACGGAGAGCAGCATAATTGGATTAAATTCGCTTTCGTGAAATTTAAAATAGTTATTTTGGTATTTTAGCAAACAATTTTTTATTAATAAACACATTTCAGTTATCTGTTTTCCCCAAATGGAAAAAAAAAAGTCACGTGGGATTGTCGTGTATTGAAGTTAATGTCGTTCTTATACATTTATGCAAATATCACCAATACACAAGTTGACAGCTGTTGCCGCTAGAAATTGTAATGAAGGAAATCGACTCACTTGCATAGTTCTCCCATGTATTTAGAAGGAGGTATAGTTCCTGTCTGGTACCGACCAAGCACTGAACTCCTCATGTTGGTGGTGGTCTGCTGGTCGCACTGGGTGATGCCGTTGTTGGGGGTTTTGAAGCAGGTCAGTCCTTTCAAGTACTCTGTACAAAAAAAAAATCATTTTGATACTTATGCATGGTAAATTATTTACATTTAATGTATGCTAAATTTTCATTGACACTTATTGTATGCTAAATTTTCATTGACACTTAATGTATGCCAAATTGTCATTGACACTTATTGTATTCCAAATTTTCATTGACACTTAATGAATGCCAAATTTTCATTGACACTTAATGAATGCCAAATTTTCATTGACACATTTTGTATGCCGAATTATCATTGACACTTAATGAATGCTAAAATTTCATTGACATTTATTGCATGCCAAATTTTCATTGACACTTAATGAATGCTAAAATTTCATTGACACTTATTGTATGCCAAATTTTCATTGACACTTAATGTATGCTCAATTTTCATTGAGTCTTATTATTTGCCAACTTTTCATTGACACATGTTGTATGCCAAATTTTCATTGACACTTAATGAATGCTAAAATTTTATTGACACTTAATGTATGCTCAATTTTCATTGACACTTAATAAATGCTAAATTTTCATTAAAACTTATTGTATGCTAAATTTCATTAACACTTATTGTGTGGCAAATTTTCATTGAAACTTTTTGTATGCTAAATTTTCATTGACTCTTAATGAATGCTAAATTGTCATTACTCTTATTGTATGCCAAATTTTCATTGACACTTAATGAATGCTAAATTGTCATTACTCTTATTGTATGCCAAATTTTCATTGACACTTAATGAATGCTAAATTTTCATTGACACTTTTTGTGCGCTAAAATTTCATTTACGCTAAATTCTCAATGAAATCGTTTAAAGGAACATTTTCAAAAGATGAACTCACTGTCCTTGTCGGTGCATGACACGCCCGTGGCCTTCTCCATGGCCTGGAGGTCGATCCCGATGGTACTGAGGCGGGTGAGAAGAGACGGGCAGGTGTTGGACAGCGGACCGAGACATGAGAACAGCTTTTCTCTGTTGCTGCAATCGAAACAAGAATTCAAAGATCAGGCCAGTTGAAAGGAGTTTCATGACAGGATATTGAGCTGTTTACATGTCCCCGTCTCCCCCCCCCCCCCCCCCCCCCCCCCCCCCCCCCCCAAAACGCCTTTTTTTCATTCATGCTTCCCTTTGCCACAATGTCAGGGAAAAGAAGTTTCAGTTACTAGCTGTAAACTAACGAAAATTTTAGCTATTTTTTGTAGAATAAAATTCTTCAAGGTAAGCCATTTCCAATTTATATTCATTTCAACGTTCAAACTAGTATCAAAATTAATGCCGAAAACGAGGCTTTCTTCCGGTAGAAATATTGTAAAGCCGCGAATTAGCGCAGCCCCGCTTTCAACGCGATCCGATTTTATGGACTCAACATGTTTTGTGCGGATACGGCTATTCTATTAATCAATAAAGAGCCACGCTTATGGCGTAGAACTGTCTGTAGGAATGTCTGTAGCTGTCTGTTGAAATGCATGTAGGACTATTCGTAGGACTGTCTGCAGGTCTATTGTTTAAAATGCCTTGAGATATGATGTATAACTGTCTGTAGGAATGTCTGTAGCTGTCTGGAGAAATGTATGTAGGACTATTCGTAGGACTGTCTGCAGGTCTATTATTTAAAATGCCGGGAGATGGGATGTATAACTGTCTGTAGGAATGTCTGTAGCTGTCTGGAGAAATGTATGTAGGACTATTCGTAGAACTGTCTGCAGGTCTATTGTTCAAAATGCCGAGAGATGGGATGTAGGACTGTCTGTAGGCCTATCGTTTTTATGGCTATTAGAAGTTAAAACTTAAAATAAAAACACATGTCCCCACCGGGTTGGAAAACACACGGACCCGATGTAAAAAGCAGATCCCGGTTACGACCTACTAAGTTTAAGGTCATATCCGGCCCATGTCATATTGTAAACATACTTGCAGAAGTTGGATAGCTCCGATTCGTTTAACCCAGCGATGGAGTACTTGTCTTCAATGATAGAGGCGTTTGGGTTCAAGATGGGATCAGGGTTCACGTTGATGGCTGCGTAACACTGGATGAGACTCTGCGTGGCTTCCTGTTCGCAAGCTGGGGATAGAATGTTTTGTATGTGGGCGGGTGGTGGCAATCTCAGATTGTAAAGATATCCCCCCCCCCAAAATGGAAAGAATATGTTGTTAGATCGAAAGAGAATCGCAGGATCTTAAGGATACAATGAAACAATGAACACACATAGTCAATCGAGACTTGCTATATTTAACTTTAATTTTAACTCAGTTATTTTCGAATCACTTACATTCATACTTCACGTTGTAACTTGTAGTAATAAATTAAATTTGGAGTGCTTAAAGGTACCAAAAAACACTTTTTGTTGCGGAACACATCTAGTGGCTATTATAATGATATTTATTTAAATTGATTAGCGAGTGTGTGCACCAAAATATTAAAATGGAATTATAAAGTAAATATATTTAAAGCATTTTGAAATCTTGTATTTTCCTTAAAGGTGGTTTGTGTGATGGGGATAAAATAGATCGCGGAATCGGAATTTAGTTTATAATAATGTAGAAGAAGAAAATGTTCAGAGAATGCGCGATTGAATTCCAAGTAGGGCTTCATGATCCCGTTTGGAAACTCTTTGATCTGGTTCGAAAAAGAGCATGAACAAGAACATGATCAAAACTCATTGACAGATTTATAGCAACGTAACCACGATTTCTGTCAGAGCTCATGGGCACATAAACAAAGCCGATAATTGTTCATCCTCTAACTGAGATCGGTGAATGGAAGAAGGCAGTCATCTGGTATCATTAGGAGCTCTATGTCGCATGGACGTTGTTTTTTTTTTAAACAGTAAGCTCTGTGCCGAAGCCAGAAATTACAATCCGTGCTGAGAAAGCTAGCACTGAGCCTCACACAAGACCTCATCCATTAAAAAAACAAACAACAACAACAAGATAACGGGTTGCTCCGCGCTGACTCTGACTTAATGGAATATAAAGAAAGGAAAATCTGAAGAAAAAAAGGACCCAAAAACATAACAAACACTAAAAACTACGTTATGATCACTGCATTCTGGAATTCTGGACGTTGAAACTTTGAAATAAAAATGCTTTAACTCACACACACACACACACACACACAAACACACACACACACACACATACACACACACACACACACACACACACACGCGCGCTGTCACATAACATGTTTTAAAAAATAGGTAGCAGGCGTTTGCATTGCAACACACGTCCATTCTTCTACACCACTTCCAAGGAAGTTGTTTTTTTGTTGTTGAGAAAATGAGCCACAACACTACCAGATACTGGAAGCAGCATCAAGATACTTACATTTGCCACACATGCCGTCCATAATGCCGAGAAGCTGGGCGCCTCTGCCCAATACGCCCATCTTGTCCTCGTTGGTGCACTGAGCGGATGTGTTGTATTTCTGCATATTCTGCAGGATGCAGGGCACCACCTTGTCTTGAATGGCTGAGCTAGAGCAATAGGGAAACAAAATAAACCAAGGTAAATTCATCTTATATGGAATACCTGAGATGTGCATGTAACAGATTAATACCTGAGCTATGCGTGTAACAGATGAATACCTGAGCCATGTGTGTAACAGATGAATACCTGAGCTATGCGTGTAACAGATTAATACCTGAGCTATAAGTGTACTAGAGAAATTCCTGAGCAATATGTGTTATAGATAAATATCTGAGCTATATAGAAATACCTGAACTATAAGTTTAACAGAGAAATACCTGAACAATTTCGGTGACATTGGAAAACCTGAACTATTTGTGTAACAGATAAAAAAAAAACATTTGAATTAAGAGTTAATACGGATACGTTTCTAAATATAATGTCCAGATGACTAGCTATTTAACTCATCCCGAACTGTGGGGAAAAAACGATTCACCATTCTCACTATTTTCTCCCTATGTAGTTCTAGTGATAAACTTAAATGAACCACACATGACCCACAAATTAAGCCTCAGACAAATACGGGCAGGACTGCGTTCAGGTTTAAGCAATAAGAAATGTACACAGGATAGAGAAAAACCTAAAGTAGGACAAAATGAAAGAAAAGCGAAATTTTCGGCTAAGAAGTCTTCGATAGTAGACCATAACAAATTTTTCGAACAATTAAAACGTGGAAAATTTCTGTTGAAAGCAAAATATGATTTTTTTTTTTTTAATTCTGTTTAATATATCGCACAAATGTAAACCTGGAATAGTTGAAGTATATTTTAAGTATATAAAGTATTTTCCCTCAGACAGCCTACGAACTCTTCTACAATATTGATTACATTACCTAACAGCTGGATTAATAAAAAAAAAAATTAAAATAATTTTAACAACTTGCCTTGAAACTTCACTAGGTCACAAAAATACTTGACTTACCTATCTACACTTTTGAATGATTCACCAACAAGCTTTACTAACTCACTAAAACACTTGACTTATATAACTACATATTTGCATGATTCACCAACAAGCGTAACTAACTTACCAAAACACTTGACTTACCTTTCTACACATTGAAGTGACTCACCAACAAGCTTCACTTAAACACTTGACTTACCTATCTACATATTTGAGTGATTCACAAAAAAGCTTTAAAAAGTCACTAAAACAAATGACTTACCTATATATATATATCTGAGTGACTCAGCAACAAGCTTCACTAACTCACTAAAACACTTGACTTACATATCTACATATTTGAACTATTCACCAACAAGCTTCACTAAGTCACCAAAATACTAGACTTACCTTTCTACACATTGGAGTGACTCACCAACAAGCTTCACTAAGTCACCAAAATACTTGACTTACCTTTCTACACATTGGAGTGACTCACCAACAAGCTTCACTAAGCCAACAAAATACTTGACTTACCTATCTAAACATTGGAGTGACTCACCAACAAGCTTCACTAAGTCACCAAAATACTAGACTTACCTTTCTACACATTGGAGTGACTCACCAACAAGCTTCAATAACTCACTAAAACACTTGACTTACATATCTACATATTTAAACGATTCACCAACAAGCTTCACTAAGTCACCAAAACACTTGACTTACCTATCTACACATTTGAGTGACACCCAACCAGCTTCATTAACTCACCAATAATGTTTTAACTCTTCTATAAAATTTCAATAACCGACCAACAATCTTGATTAACTTAACTAACTAACTGGTGTAACTAACTGGTGTAGCTAACTGGTGTAACTAACTGATGTAAATAGCTAGTATAAGTTAGTAACTGTGTAACTAACTGGTGTAACTAACTGGTGAAACTAACTGGTGAAACTAACTGGTGTAACTAACTGGTGTAACTAACTGGTGTAACTAACTGGTGTAACTAACTGGTGTAACTAACTAGTATAAGTTAGTAATTGGTGTAACTCACTGATGTAACTGTGTTAGTAACTGGTGTAACTAACTGGTGTAACTTACTGGTGTAACTAACTGGTGGAACTAACTGGTGTAACTAACTAGTGTAGCTAACTGGTGTAACTAACTGATGTAAATAACTGGTGTAACTAACTGGTGTAACTAACTGGTGTAACTAACTGGTGTAGCTAACTTGTGTAACTAATGGTGTAGCTAACTGGTGTAACTAACGGATGTAAATAACTAGTATAAGTTAGTAACTGGTGTAGCTAACTGGTGTAACTAACTGGCGTAACTAACTGATGTAAATATCTAGTATAAGTTAGTAACTGGTGTAACTAACTGGTGTAACTAACTGGTGTAACTAACTGATGTAACTAACTAGTATAAGTTAGTAACTGGTGTAACTAACTGGTGTAACTAACTGGTGTAACTAACTGGTGTAACTAACTGGTGTAACTAACTAGTATAAGTTAGTAACTGGTGTAACTAACTAGTATAAGTTAGTAACTGGTGTAACTAACTGGTGTAAGTCACTGATGTAACTAACTGTTTTAGTAACTGGCGTAACTAACTGGTGTAACTGACTGGTGAAACTAACATTTAACTAGTGTAACTAACTGGTGTAACTAACTGGTGTAACTCACTGGTGTAAATGACTGGTTTAACAAACTGGTGTAACTGACTGGTGTAACTAACTGGTGTAACTAATTGGTGTAACTCACATCTGTAACTAATGCAGCTTCTTTACTCGACTTGCTCGCCAAGATCACTTACAACCTTGACAAACCCCATACAAACTTGATTTATCAGCCAATGAACTCAACCTATTCACCTACAAACTTGATGTATCAGCCAATGAACTCAACCTATTGACCTACAAACTTGATTTATCAGCCAATGAACTCAACCTATTCACCTACAAACTTGATTTATCAGCCAATGAACTCAACCTATTCACCTACAAACTTGATTTATCAGCCAATGAGCTCAACCTATTCACCTACAAACGTGATTTATCAGCCAATGAGCTCAACCTATTCACCTACAAACTTGATGTATCAGCCAATGAGCTCAACCTATTCACCTAAAAACTTGATGTATCAGCCAATGAACTCAACCTATTCACCTACAAACTTGATTTATCAGCCAATGAGCTCAACCTTTTCACCTAAAACTTGATGTATCAGCCAATGAGCTCAACCTATTCACATACAAACTTGATTTATCAGCCAATGAACTCAACCTATTCACCTACAAACGTGATTTACCAGCGGAGAAACTCGAGCTACTCACCTACAAACGAACTCTATGTAGCTCGTGTACGTGTATTGGGCAGGTATGCCTCCCGTTCTGTTGCCGGTGATGATGAAGATGATGCCGGTGAAGTTGACCCCGAAACTCTCGAAACATTCTGGTGCCATGGCGGCCTCGAACCGGTTGCTGCAAACAGCATTCTGTTGGTTGGCAGGCGGCTGCTGGGGTTGTTGACCGTTGGTCAGCAAGGTCAAGTCAAGGATGAGGACGACTGACACACACAAAAAAAATGAACAACAAAGAGTTTGTATTGTGTGTTCAGATGTGGACTGTTTAAGGTGCAAACGTTCTCCCAGCTTAAATGTATTTAAAAAGTATCCCTTGAATTTTGCGAAGTTTGAAAGATAAGGCCAAATTTTGAGCTGACCACTTACAAAGCCCAAGCAGACTAATTCTAAGCGAGGTCGTCTTAAAGGCACGGGAAAACGGACCAGTTGACCAGTAACCTTGGCCATTGTAAAAAAAAAAAAAAAAAAAAAAATTAAAAAAAAAAAATTATCACATTTCTTCTCTCAATAACTTTTTTTCCCCTCAAATATCTCAATGAACAGAAAGTGGATAAAACATGAATGTGAAGAAAAAAATGCATCACTACATACCAAGACAAGAAATCAGGAATCCTCTTGATGACGACGCTTGCATTTCACAGATTTGAAGTGAACTTTTTTTAATTTAAATTTCTGTAATAACAATTGTTCTTTAAAATATGAGAGGCGGCAAAGGTGACTTATCGAACGTTAAAATCAATTTCTTTTTTTTGTTCAAAGTGGGCTAAGTAGAAAGTTGTGATTTAATCAAATGAGTCCAACTGGACCCGCTATAGTGAAGTTGTTAACGTGGACACAGACGAATAGTGTAATTTTACCCTACGGAAGTTACTGGGACACATGAATTAAGACTAATGAATAAATCACACACATAATAATAATAGGAAAACTAATTTTTGTGGTGGTAATAACAACTTCGGGATCTATTTTACGACTGTGCGGATTAATATATCCAGTAATTACTGAGTCACACTCTGTCCGCTCTGGTCACATGAGGAGATGCTGCACCTGAATGACGTCACGTGGGATTTCGAGGCTGAAAAAATCCGTTACATGTTACATCCCATCTCCAGCCTCCCTTCGCCCTCCCCCCGCCCCCCCACACCCCCCCACACCCTCCTCAACCACGTACAGGCGTATGACTTTCCCATCACTTCACCTTTCCTTACCTGGCTGAAATGTTGTGATTGCTTTGTAAGATTAGGTGTGTGACCACTTCCTTCTCGCGGCCCCTGGACACAGTTAACCCGCATGCCCACCAATGTCTAGCACCTAGGTGCAGCTACGTGATTAAGTAGACTGTCGTCCGCTCCGTGTGTGTGTGTGTGTGTCAGAGGCCGTGGCGTCTAAATACAACAAACACGCACACAACATTTCGATGTTGTTGTTTTTATTTTTTTAAAATACATTTTCCGCACAATAAGTTAACTCTAATGACGGAGGGTTTACATTCTGAAAATTTAAAACATTATTTAACAATTTGAAAAGCAAGCAATTATATTATTTTGATAATGTCGACGACATAGTCGTAAACACAAAAAAAAACATTATAAGTTTTGTCATTTTCGGGATCTAAGTTGGTTCAATTTCAGTTAAATAAAAATTTAAAATATCACAACCATTTTTAAGAAACATATTTAGAAATAGAAATTTGATGTTACGCACCTAATGAACACAAATTGATATCTTGTCTGGACCAATTTGGGGAATTTTTTTTTTTCGCGCTATTGAACTGAGCGCAACGCATCTACATTGGCTAGTTATTACATTATTATAATTATTATTATTTTATAAAAAATAATGAATGCAACAACACTATTCTACAAACTTCAGGTAGTTGGGGATTTTTAAACCTCAGACAGGGGTCATCCTAAAACAGTGGTTCTCAACCTGTGGGTCGCGACGCCTCTGGGGGTCGCATGACCCTTTCACAAGGGTCGCCCAAGACCATCTGAAAACACATATGCTCTACAGTTATATTGTATCAAAGAAAATAATTTTGTGGTTGGGGGTTGCCACTGCATTAGAAACTGTATTAATGGGTCGCGGCATTATAAAGGTTGAGAACCACTGATCTAAAAGAAGGATCGATACGATGGGGGGGGTCCACCCCCCCCCCCCCCGCTTGTATGGGCCTCATTAACATTGAACGGCAACTAAAATGATAGAAGGAGAAACTCTGAATTCAAGTCCAGAGATGGAGTCCCGTATGATGATAACATTGACGCAATGGCTATTCCGACAACTCCTGCCAAGCAGCTGGTGACTAAGCTGTGGAACCAGCTTATCTTCGTACAACCAAAACCCTAGGCCATGTGATTTCCTCCTGCGAAGACTACCACCATCATCACACTGCGATGGACGGATGCCAGAAACATTACTAAATTTAAAAAAAAAAAATGAATTAACAAAAGCTTACAATTGATTTTCTTATTCATCTTAAACTCACAACAATAAGCAAAACACGCTTTAAAAAAAACAACAACACAGTAAGTGTTATTTTTCTTTATTCCCTGAACACCAAACATTTCGCAATAGTTAAACGCAGGCATTAAGTAAAAATAATAATAAATATTAACAGATACCGGTAGTAAAAAAAAAAAAAATTAGTTTCATTAATATAAATCAACTGTGCTAAAATGAACATGTTATAAGGTGAGCGATTTTAGTTGTATCTTATACGTAATCCTCTTCCATTTTTTCCCTTACGTTTATCATATAAGATGTTTGTTCAACAGTGGCCAGGACTTAAACCTGCAGCTAATTATAACACTGACGTACAGTTTGAACTATTATAAAATATATTTTAAGAAAAATAAAAAATCACAGTGGAATGATTAGGTGCAATCAAGCTATGCGACGGAGATGTAGCTACGATGGTTGTCTTAGTAATTTATTCAGACTTACAGCAAAGCTTGTTTTTTAAACAAAAATTCCTTTAGTGTCTAAAAACCTCTCAAATCATAACAATCGCATTTAGTGAAATAAGGCAATAAAGCTAAACACAATTTTGTTCATTAGGATCTAATTTTTTAAATGGAAAATGTTGCATTTTGAAGCCTTATATATCTTTATATGTGTAATGAACGTACTAATTAGTCGTCAACGGCCTCCCCGGTAATGCGGTGTTTGACAGCTCAGATTTAGGACAGCCACCCTCCCCAACCCCAACCCCCCCCCCCTTTGCGCCTAAAATTGATCTGGAAGAGCCGATGGCGATTCTGTGCAGGCCTCTGATGGATGGACGAGGGTCTGTGATGGACAGGCTGTCATGTTGCAATCATGCTTGTGCCTGGAAGGGAGCAGGAAGTAATGTTTGGGGAGGTGGGTAGGGCATCAAGTATTGGTTTAATAGAATAGAAGAGTAGAGTGCAGTAGAGGGATAGTGTATTAATGGATAAGTAGTGGTTTGATAGAAAAGAAAAGTACAGTAGAGGGGCGGTGTGTCCATGGATAAAAGCTGTGCTGGATTAAAGACTATCCAGCAACGCAACAAACCTAACGTGCGACCACTACCATTGCAAAAAAAAAAATAAGCAAAAATATTTTTTTTTCAGGAGATCTAAAAAGAAGGATCGATACGATGGGCCGGGGGGGGGGGGGAGGAGGAAGGATCTCGAAAAGATATGACGATTATATATTATACTCAAAGAAACACGTTTATAACAGAACTCTAAAGTACACTAAGTTTTTTACCCCCCCCCCTCCCCTTTTTCCAAGACCTATGCAGCGAGGGTGCCTCTTGCTAAGATCGGAGAACATGCTGCCTATTTCGGCACATGCCTAAACCTCTGTGTTAGGCACCTTGTCCTGCCAGCGAATTCGTAAGATGCAACGCAGACGTCTGCGGTAGAGTTTCGGTCTCATGACTGACGTAATTTGGCCTAAATTTTACTGCTATATATATAGTTATGTTCAAAATTCATTAAACAACAATATACAAGAGGCACTTTTTTTTTTCCAAATGCTTGAATTTATTTCTTGAAGGTAACGGATTTGTGACATGATTATCGTGTTCTTGAATAGATTTCCGTGTGTATTTGAAGTTTTGTAAAATTTTTGGGGGGTTAATTATTGCTACTGCTTTCTTATGTAATCATTCCTAAGTCTTCCTTTGCTACGGCTATCCCAGGTAATACTTCCTAAGTCTTCCCTTGCTACGGCTATCCCGGGTATCCTCCCAACGTCTGCCCTCTGCTACTGCTATCCCGGGTAATCCTCCCAAAGTCTGCACTTGCAAATCTTTCATTACTCCACCGGGTACGGTCAGAGGGGTCGCTATAAAAGGGAATTAATTCAGTAAATGAATCTCTAAATGATAGGATTAAGACTTATCGGAAATCTACCACACAAACCGATACTCCCCATGGCTTTCTAAATTAGTTCCCTTGTATTGCGACACGTCTCTGTTTTGAAGTGAACACGGCACACCATTGGATTGGTTGGGGGAGAGGGGGTGGCGGAATAGTTCTATTTTATTCTCATATGAAAGTAGATATTGACCAACAAAAATAGTCTATTCTAACAGTAAAGTAACATTTAGGAACAAAGCTACTATTATGCCATTTAAAGTTTGTTTTAAGTATGGAACGTCACCACTTCAAAATTCAACTTAGTCTTTGACCACAAGTACGACGAACAAAAAAAAAAAAGAAGAGACATTTCAGATACATTAATAATACACCAAACTGAGTCGATTCATTAAGATTGCTTCACCA